AGATTCTTCCAGGTCTCCAGCATAGGTGCATGGTCCCAAGACTTTGGCCTAATATCTGCTGCTCTTCCAAGTGATAAGTTATGGAGCTAGATGGGAAGTGGAGCAGCTGGGATGTACCCATATGGGATCCTGATGCTTTGCAAGGAAACTAACCAATTGAGTCATTGTGGTAGGTCCCAAAACACTTTTCTTGATCTGATCACTCCCTCCTTTATTGATACCTGGAAGTGTGTGTGTGTGTGTGTGTGTGTGTGTGTGTGTGTGTGTGTGTGTGTGTGTGTTTATTTTAAGTACAGCCCATTCATTAATTCAAACATACATTCATTCATACATTTTTGCTAGAAGCATTCGCCAAGCATTTTCATGGGTGATCACTATGCTTGAGGTTATAGGAGCAGAAAGAAGAAATGGTTCCCCCCCACACACGAAACACCACCCGATTAGGAAGGAGGACAAAGAAGCCACTTCAGCAAGAGGATATTACTAAGGAAATATGCAGAAAAGTATAAGTGGAAGAAATAGAAACAGAACGACGGTGAAAGGAAAATTTTCTTGTAGTTGACATTTCACAAAATCAAGATGTAACAAAAACATGTTTCTTGAACAAATCTGTGTTCACTATTGGAAGACATTTTCCTTTTATCATCTGAGGAAGACAAAATCCAGTGACTCGTGTTCAGTCACCTAGATTTTAAAATTTTTAGTGAGTTTTTAACAAATATAATTTGTACATGTTTTTCAAAGACCATGTGATATTCCTTTTTTCTCTGTCTTCACCATTCTTTCTCCCTTTCCCTTTTTATCTTTGGAATGATGCATTTTGGAAATGACATTACAGTAAATGACTTAATGCCTCACCAAATAAGTTGAACAAATTAAAAACAGAAAGAATCTAGTTTAGTGAGAATTAAGACAATAATTGGATGGAACTATGATTTTTCCTCTCATTTGCAATAAATTTTAAAATAAATGATAAAACTATAGTTTTGTACTTTCTTAATTGCTCATTTGACAAAAGTACAAGCCAAAGTTTTACAAAACTACATTTTCAGCAATATATATATTTGCTTCATCCTATTGATGTGATTTATGTTTATTAGTTTGTGAAAGTTAAACCACCCTTGTATTTCTGGGCTAAATCCTATTTGTTCATGCTGTGTTTTTAATGTGCTTTTGGATTTGATTTGTTAGTATCTTATCGAGGCGCTTAACATTTGGAACCCAGATTTGTAGTTTCCTTTACATGTTATATCTGATTCAGGTATCAAAGTAATACTGGCCTCAAAAAGGATTTGGCAGAATTTCATTGGAGTACTTTGGAGTGTTTTGGAGGTACTTCCTCTTTGAATACTTTGCAGAATACAGATGTAAAGCCATCAGGTCCTACTCTTTCCTTTGAGTGAAGACTCTGATTACTGCTTCAAAATCATTGCTACTTAAGAATCTATTTAGGCTGGCCGTATATAATTGACATAATCTTGCTTGCTTTTGTGAATCCAGGAATTTATCCAACTTTTGAGGATTTCTGGTTTATTTGAAAATAATTCTAAATAGTGGCTTTTTAATGATACATTAGATTTTTAATATTTTTGCATTTGTTGAGACTTGCCATCTGACATGAAATGTGAGCTATCCTACAAATCTTTCATTTGCTAATGAGAAAAATATGTTTTGATTGTACTAGGATGTAGTTCTCCCTTTTGTTCAAATAGTATTTTGTATGGATCTGAATGGGCTTGGGTTTGGTACATATATATTTTTGATTGATATGTCCTGCTGAATTGAAACCTTTTATCAAAATATAAATATCCAGGCAGTGGCCTGGAAGCTAAAGTCCTTGCCTTGCTTGTGCTGGAATCCCATATGGGAACCAGTTCTAATCCTGGCAGCTCCACTTCCCATCCAGCTCCCTGTTTGTGGCCTGGGAAAGCAGTCAAGGATGGCCCAAAGCCTTGGGACCCTTCACCCACTTGGGAGACCTGGAAGAAATTCCTGGCTCCTGGTTTTGGATCGGCGCAGCACCGTCACTTGGGGATGGGATCATAGGAAGGAAGAGCTTTCTCTGTCTCTGCTCCTCTCTGTATATCTAACTTTGTAATAAAAAATAAATCAATCTTTAAAATATATATCCTTTCTTTTTAAAAAAATTATGATTAATAACTTTGTAATATGTGACACAGTTTTATAGGCACTGGGATTCCCCACAGCCCCCTTAAGCCTCCCACATGGCGGATTCCTCCACCTTGCTGCGTGAGCACAGTTCAAGTTCAGTTGAGAGTTCCTCATTGCAAGCATATACCAAGCACAGTGTCCAGCATCCCATTGTCCAATTGTAAAACCTACTATAGTTTCAAAACCTTGTGCTACACCCCTCTTATAACTGTTATGCACCTCAATTGTTGAAATGTCAATGGAGTGGTCACAGGATGTGGTTAAGAACTTGCATTATTTTTAATATATTGTTTACTCAATACTATGTCAGTTAATACCATAACATTGTATATTGTTGCTGATGTTATGTTGGGGCTCTTGAGTGATTGGGTTTTTACTCTGTTGGCCCTGCCTTCAGACTGGAGAGGGTCTCCCCAAGAGCCTGTTGAGCTTATATATCCTTTCTTAAAGGATTGTGTTGACAGATATGAATTAATCTGCCTTTTATTGATTGGATATTGATTCTGCCTGCTCTGTGGGTGAATTTTTGGTAACCTGTTTCAGGATTATATCCAATGCAAGACATCCTTCAGAATTCTGTGTAAGACTGGTCTGGTGATGGTGAATTCTATTTTCTCTTTTCTGGGGGATATTTCTCTTTCACTTTAAAAATATTTCTGGGTACAAAACTCTTGGTTTAGAATTCTTTTAAGACCTGTAATATATCATCCATATTTCTTTTGGCCTATTCGTTTCTGGTTAACCTAGTGTTAATCTCATTGGTTATCCTTTATATGTAACTTGACACTATTCTGATACTGTCTTCAGAATGCTGTCTTGAACTGTTAACAGTTTGATTCTAGTAAAGTTGGAGAGGACCATTTCTATGCTTGTTTTATCTGCTTGGGGTTCCTTGAGCTTCTTTTGTCTGGATGTGCATGTCTTTTTATTACAAATGAAATTATCAAGTGTTTCACATAGTAGGTCCATAAAAATGCTTTTGTTTTCTTATTCAGGAATGCCTATAATCCAAATATGTGGTTGTTTAATGATACCTCACTATTTGCATAGACTTTTTTTTAACCCTTACTTCTTTATTTTTGCCAGATTACATTATTTCAGAATCTCATCAAGGTCAGAAAGTCTTTTGCCTACAAGATCTATTCTGCTATTAAAGCTTTTAATTTTAATTTTTACTCCCCTGATTGAAGATTTCATCTCATACTCCTGTTTATTTCTTCTTAATGACTTCTATCTCCTCAGTAATTTTTCATTCCTGCCACTCATTGATTTTCCCATTGCTTCAATCTGTTCATCTGTTTTCTTGCATCTATTGAATTTCTATGCAGTAATTATATTGGATTCTATATCTTGTTTCATAGAATATCTTTCAGCTTGGGATCTCCTCCAGGAGGATTATTGTATTCTTTTTTTGGCATCATGCTACCTTCTTCTTGTCTCCTGTGTTCTTACATTGAAATCTGCCCTGTGGCATATTCATCTCTTTTTGATGAAACCGGTTTTTTTTTTGGAAGAGATTATGGCTTAAATGTGTTGCAGGATATTACTTTCCTTGTTGCTTTGGCTTTGGTTTTAGCTGAGCCCAGGAATGTAATCTTTCATTCTTCTCTCTTTATCAAGGTCATCTGTGTCTATAAGTGACACAATAGTCTAGCCTGTTGTTGTTCATAGATAGAAACATGGCTTCTCGATGTGAGGATTTCCATGGGAGTGCCGATATCCCTGATGAATGTGATAACCAGATCCCTTTTCTTGTTGCTGATAATGGTAAAATTAGCCATCCCCTTGTTCTACTGGCATGCCCGAATGGGGTTGATATGTGTGACCCTAGTTGATGGACACTTCCTGATTCCTGCTAGCAGAAGTCGGCCAGTGTGGCTGCTTTTGATAGCAGCATCCCTAGTCTTGAGGCTAGGAGATGTGATCTGGACCATGTTCTAGACTTCGCAGGATTACTACAAGCTATGGACAAGATTTTAGTCTGTAGTGTAACAGTCTAGAAAGGTGAAATGTAGATAGGTTCTTCACTGTTTCTGCCTGGTAGATTTTAGTGGCGTTCAAAATTTAGATTAGCAAATCCCCCTGGCTCATAGCTTTTGGGCCCTCAAATCTCCCTCAGTTTCAGGATGCAGAGGATGTATCCTTCTTCCTACTTGTGACCCTCCCTCTGACTGCAGTACTGCTAGAAGTACTACAAAGGGATGCTTGGCTTTTCACTGTTCATTATGGTGCTGTGTAGTTAGGAAATGGGGGAGGGGAGAGGAGTACACCGGCTTCCCTGCACCATGCTCCACAGAGCTAAGACCCCAGTCAACAACCCAAGGTAGAGTAAAAATCAGTGGCTGACTGTGGACGTTCCTCTAGCTAGAACTGGGAGAGGCAGCATGAGCGACCTTGAGGTGTTCTGATGATGCCTCATGACTGGCAGCTGGCTGTGCCACGTGGCTTGCTGCAGTGGTGTCTCTGACTTCTCTGTGTCCTGTTATTTTACATTGTATTGTTTGAAATTGCCTTAGTCTATGTCAATATCATCATTATGAGATCACATTATCTACTGAGTCTAATACGTAACCCTGAACCAAATTTCTAATTTAGTGACTTAATCTGGAAGAATCTAGAAAAAGTCATCTAGAATCTGCGTAGTCGCAATCTCTCTCATCAGTAAGTGTGTAGACCCAAATTAAAGATAATTTTTGCATTTTATACATGTCCGTAACAGTAAGATTAATTCACAGAAATATCCAGACAAACTAAAGGATATAGTTTTTCACTAAAATAAATTATGAATAACTTTTAAATGAGTTTTCTTTTCATGTTCTTTCAAATAGCGGCAAAAAGTTGGCTACATCAAGTGGTGACTCTACGGTTAAATTATGGGACCTCTATAAAGGCGATTGCATTTTGAGCTTTGAAGGACACAACCATGCAGTATGGTCCTGTGCATGGCACTCTTGTGGTGATTTTGTGGCTTCATCCTCGATGGATACAACCAGCAAAATCTGGGATGTTAACAGGTGAGACATACTTCAGGCAATATTGACTTTCTTTGTGGAAATGCACCTGCTTGTAACATGAATATAGTTATATATGGGAAAAGTGTCTTCACTAATGTGGTCACTGAAAAACATAAAAAGAAATTGTGAAGGTTGTAGCATGCTGCTTAAATAATCTCTTCTGACATCCGTTTTACCTTAGCCATTGATGATGTAGTAATTCCTTCCTAAATTAGGTATCAAGATCAAGCCTGTGTAATAAGGTTAGACTCCCTTCATTCTGAAGTGGTTTGTTATAAGCAGATAAAAGAAAATAGTTACTTTTTAAAACATAAGATTTTTAAGTTCTGCCTTACTGAGGTTTCCTATCTCTCCAAACTACAAAACTTGATGTAAAACCTCTGAAAATGATGAAAATATGGTCAGTCATAAGCTTCAAATCAATATATTGCATGGACTTCCCTAATTATGATGTTTCTTGGCAATAGTATCATTTTACTGCGTGCAAAGTCCTATTATAAAATATCATGTGTCTGTAGAAGCTTTATGAATTAAACTTAATTTAAACCAGACAAATCCATTATCTTTATAATACCAGGATTATAGCTATTTATGTACTTTTGTGTGATTATTACATTTCTGGTAGGTGTTCAAATGTAATATGAATTGATAAATTGAAATATCATCAGACATTTTAATCATTGCAGCTAAGGTATTGTAATCAGTTGTGATTAGTTTTATCATTAAAAGATACCTAGATTTTAAAAAAGCAATGATGACTGGCAAATTAAGGAAAAATGTTATCACACCATCATGATTTATTTTGTATAAAGCATTGTACTCACTCTACAGATATGGAATATTGATTTAGTGTTTGTAGAAGCAGGTACCTTGAACACAATCATGAGAAGCATCTGTTATGAAATTATATGGCTGTAAATAATGTATTTCTGATTTATTGCTATCTAACTAGTAATGATATAAGATTTATTTTAATTCTTAGCTTGGTAAGTTTTGCTTATCTGATATAATTTTGCATAATTCTTAATTTGATTATGCCTAGATATTTTATATTTATTATAATAGATGACTGGAATTTAAATAGCAGTTTCTGATCTTAAGCCTCCTTGGCTTAGATGTGGAACCTAATAGAGGCTTGTGATCCATTCAAAGCTGTCAGATCTTTTAGCTATTCAGTTTTTAAGCCAAACCATTGTTTAAATCTGAGCGCCATTAGACTCAGCACCACTTCGTATGATTTCAAACTCTTTAACTTGACAACTCTTCCACAGCCCTGAGGATATTTAAACACTGTCTTGCCACTGACACCCTGAGAATATTGACATATCATTAAAATTACTCCTGTTGAATGCCAAAATCTTTATATTTCATATTTGCAATCAATGTTAACAGCTTAAGTTCACCATCAGGGACTCTTTCTTGAAGGTGAGATAATGGACAAATATTAAAAAGCGAGAAATATTTTGATAGTGGCCATTGACATATCTGTCAGAATCATAATCATAGCATCAGGCTACAATTTGTAACTACTCATGGATCAATACTGTGTAGATATGTCCAAAATTGGTGTGTTGCTTTAAAATCAAAAAGGCTGCTAAAACTGCATAGTGACTTCAGAGGAGACATTATTAGTTCTGGTAAGCTAGATGGCAAAGGGAATTGCTCTGTTCTGGCTTATACACTCTTATTTTGATGTCACTGTATCTTAGTGAAAAATAATTGATATTGACTGATGCTATTGTTATACAGCAAGGAAGAAGTCAGTCAGAAGATATTTTCCTTTTATACCATCCACACAATTATTTGAGCCCTACCTCAGCCTTCAGAAGTTTTTGGTTGATGTCATATACTGAGCCATTGTAACTGTTTCCTGAATTAGGCATTATTCAGCAAGTTTATCTGTTTAACTCCTCACCAGAAATTTGTATCACTCTTAAGCACAATCTCTGTAAAGTTCCAGATAAGATGCACATGCTCTTAAGAATTTTTATTTGAAAAACAGAGTGACAGAGAGAACAGAGAGAGAAAACTTACCTGCTGGTTCATTCCACAAATATCAACAATGGCCAGGAATAGGGCATCCTGAAGTCAGGAATCTAGAATTCTTTCTACTTTTTTAATTTGCATGGCAGGTGTTCAAATACTTGAGCCACATTTTGCTTTCAAATATTGTTAAAAGGATGTCAAACTCAAGCAGAGCGCCTAGGACTCACACCAACGCTCCAGTATTAGATGCTACCGTTGTAGACAGGGGTTTGATTTGTGCCTCAGGGTCAGCCCCAAGGTTCTGTTCATATTTTATAATTGTTAATTAGAAGCTCTGAACAGTATCTAGGGCATTCTTTGGATGACGCTATACAAGATTTTATGACGTAGTAGCAGCAGTGTTTGGGGGTCAGGGTTGTGGCAGAGTGGGTTAAGTTGGTGCTCCTGATGTTCTGTGGGTGATGCTTGAACTCAAATCTGCTCCAGCTCACTGCTAGAGTGCCTGGGAAAGTAGTAGGTGATGGGCCAAATCTTTGAACATTGCTTCTCAAGGGAGAATTGGATGGAATTCCGGGTTCCTGCATTTCAGGTGGTCAAGCCTTGGTTGCTGTGACCATTTAGGGAGTGAATCTATGAAGGCAAGATCACATTGTGTGTGTGTGTATCTTTGTAGCTATCAATATTTTTTAATAAAAATTCAATGATCTTGTAAATGGTCATAGTGTAGAACTTTTATGTGTTTCTGTAGGTCATAATTATCTGCCTTAGTTTTCAATTTTCGTATGTCCTTTAAAGTTCAATTTTAAACAACTGTGTGCAATGTGCCCCTCCCCACACAGCTTTACCTCAAGTAGAGAGTACATGGCACATGCTAGTTTACTCACATAAATTAATACAATAGGTCAGCAAATGCTGTTGAAAAATATTCTCAGTGTTTTCATTACTCTATCTACATTTAAACTACACAGTAATTGTGCTATCTTAAACTACACAAATCTACAAAAAGTTGAACATGGAATAGGGAAAAAACAAATTATCTGTCGTCTATAAGAATAGTTTGTATTTCCTTGGAGGCATTTATGCTTAACAATCAGTGAGTGTTCATGAAATAACTTAATGGTATAGGGCTGCGTTCTAGACATAAGAAAATTTTGAGATTCAGTCATCGCCCTCAGAGAGATAGTAAGTAATTAAAAAGACATTAATTTTGAACTAATTGGTGAATCTGTTATGTATCTACTGCTTAAAATGCCCCATCAAGAATTCCGGTAGATTTCTAGTTGCTTTTCTTCCTAAGATATCAGGGTATTTGGCTAAGCAGTTCTATCTCTCAGTTACTTTGATTTTTAAATGGCATACCATGTGCCTTCTTAGCTTGTGGCTTGGATGAAAGAGTTTGGAGATAGTAAGAACAAAATAAAGATCAAGTAAAATTAAAAAAACAAAATAAAAATATTACTGTGTTTAACTGCCTAAGCTGCTTTTATTTTTAAACATTCAGTTATTTTTATTGGAAGGGCAGATCAAGCTTATAGAGAGAAGGGGAGAGAGAAGGATCTTCCATATGCTCCCCAGATGGCCAGAAGGCATTTGCAAGGTGAGGATTTAGTCTTTGAGCCATCATGCCAGGCACTGCCCAAGCTGCTTTCATGGTACTCATTACACAGGCCAGGGCTAACTGATCTCTTTCAAGGATTACAGAAAACAAAGGGTTTGTAAAATCCAATATATTATATACTCAAAATGATAGGGGGTTAATCTGTTGTCCTCATATCTAAGTTATTTCAGAGGCCTTTGTGATTACATACAGAGAGAATAAAACAGACTTGGGAGTCATAATTACTTTTGTTTTTGATTTCTACTGTTTACTATCATCTGGCAGTAAATATATCCGAAACCTACACTTTCTGAGAGAATTGTATTGACAAGAGTGTATCCCTAATAATCTCCATACACTTCAAATTGTAAACTGTGAAAAGAAGCCTTTGTGGCCAAGAACATAGTTTCCATTGGTGCCTAGTTCTCATGAAAAGCGTATGCTGCTGTTCTGTCTTCAAGAATGATTATATAAGATAGTTGCCAAGGGGAAATCTGCAGGGAAGAGCCAGAAGTCACTAGGAAAATGTGCAGAGGAGTGCCTCTTGGGTGGCAGTCTTTGTCCATCCAGGAACTTTTCTCAGTGCCATGGCAAAATCTTCAGGATCCCTGCCCAGAAGTGCAGCACTTCAGTGAGGCGTATGTGTTTCCTGTTTATTTTTATCATTTGTGTTGCAGTCCTAACACATCATTGCATCACTATCATGAATTACATTCTTGGTTGTGGTAAAGACATGGACTGGCATAAATGTGTAAGGCCACCTCTGGACTCGGCAGAGAAGGTCATGCCTCATCCATAGATCATTGATTGTCGACCGTGTGCAGTCATACGATGGGCATTTGGTTTGTCTCTTCTCTGAGTTATGGGAAAGAAATCAGTGAATAATCTGTGAAGGGAGAAGTAACACAAAGTTTTCATGGGCAAAGGGCCTGGCTATGGCCTGGATTGTTAGTTGTTTGTTGGGTTTCATTTTCTGTTTTGATATTGGTCGGGCATACGTTTATGATGTTGGTATTTTTCACTTTCTTGTTGGCTACATGTGACCATATGACTGAATTCTGTGCAGTAGAACAGTAGGCATAGTCTCAGGCACCGTTTCCATGTTCCTTTCCCCTTCTGCTTGGATGGGAGCAGTAACAGTGGTTACAAGTACTGGAAAAGTGGTCGACTGAAAATGTCAGAGCAGTGAGACCAAGACATTGCAGTTTCTCATCTTGAGTTTGCCAGGAACGCTCTCTAGCCTCCTGAGTGATGCTCTACCTTCTGGAGAAACTGTATTTCCTGTGTTTTTTTTTTTCAAACCACTTTAAGGCTTGCCTTGTCCGTTGTAGGCATCTGTGAATATTTTTCAGATGATCCATTTTTCCTTCATGACGCATTACTAAGGAAACTGAAGCAGTCCCTGAAGCCTTCTTAA